TTGGTTTTGCTACCTCCAGTCTAAACACTTTGCTCTGAACACTCCATTTCCATTCCTTCAGTAGGAAAACAAGTTGGGTTAAAGCAGAACAAGCAGACAGTCTTAGAGCTTGATGTCTCCTTCAAACTGCTCACAGGGAAATAACTTATTTTCCAGATTCATCCCTGAGGTTATTCTGCTTTCTGACTCCAGAAGCTAACCAGGAAGCATCCCCAGGCCCTATGAACAACACATGCACTTGCTGAGCAGAGCAAGAAATGCTAACAATTAAAGCCAGTAAAAGCCCTACAATCTCATTTTACTTGATTGAAGGTAAGAATATCACTTCTCCTTGAAGTGAAGGTTCTTATCTCCTATTGAATTTGGATCTTCAAAGAAAAAGTCCACAAATCAGTACAAAAAACTCTCCTGGGCAAAAGACCAGCAATTGTATAAAACAATATTTATGGTAAACCCAGAATAATAGGTTTTTATTTTACTTTCCCAGGTCACCTATATGAATCAAATATAGCACAGATTACTAGAAAAACAGAGCCACCCTAGAAATGCTGGGATACGGCAAAGCCTAGTTGCGTATGCCCTTGTTTCAGATAATTTGATTGGAGCGTAGTCCAGGTTCTTGAGCTATCTACACATTGGATGTTTGAGAGGGAAGCTGATTAACAAAGTAGTAGCACTTTCTATATTTATTTTAAAAATCCAAGCAACCTTTGATCAGTGTTTTCAGTGGCACATCTATGCTCAGTGTGGCTTATTTAAGACTGAGAATGCTGAACTTGTATAATTCCAGGTAAAATAATAGATATACAGAGGCCTGGATTATTGCTACACTTCACAGAAGACATGCAAAAAATGCTGTTCAAGTGTTTAGTTAGGCATGGAAATAACTGAAAACAGACTTATTATATGTAAACAAAAGTGGATTTTATATAGATATGGCAGCTGCCTTTGAATTTTTTTTTACAACCTGACATGTCACTGTTTCTGGGTGCAGAATGGCTAAAATTTTGAAATGTTAAAATCTTCTTCTTTTTATATTATTGTCTTGTGAAAATAAGGTCTGTATTGTCTTCCAATGCTCCATAGCAAACTGACAGAAGTCTATTGAAGTTACTGAGTAAAATGTTGCTTCTTTGTAATAATGTAGGAAAAGCTTCCCAAGGGAAGTGGCTTAATGATGGCAGCTGAATTGCAGCTTGAGCCAGTGCTAACTACAGCAAGTGGCTCCTTTGATTTAGACAAATTAATTTAAATATTGAAGTTGCTATGAAACTACATGTTGCAGTAGCAAAACATATTTACTTAGATTAAGGCAGGAAGGGATGGCAAGGAAACTTAGATCTGACTTGTTTTCCACAAAGGCATAATAAAAAAATCGTTTAACTGGGTCTCCAGATGACTATTAAAAACAGTTAAAGCTGCCTACAAAACTATTGTACTTACTAGTCTGAACGTGGAAAATAAACTCTGATCATGTGGTCTACTAGTGCCATCTATTGTGTACAGGGAAAAATACAGATACCAAATGTAGAACTCCATTTTCTCTTTAAAATGTGAGAAATACTCTTTCTGCACTACAGTACCAATTAGAAAACACAGTCAAAGTTCATAAAGTCACTTCTGTTTTTTATAAAGGATAGCAATTATTATAATTAACGTGTATTTCTTGGAACAGCTCTTCCAGCTCTTCCAGCTTCTTCCAGCAAGAATATTTGTAAACCCCTAGGATCAGTTCACCAACCCCAAAATCTCTGAAGTCTTCGAGGAGACCCTCCAAAACCTGGTGGCTTGTGAAAATATGGTGTCAATAAATGAGCCTAAGACTCCGCACTTACAGTGCAGTTTATTTAAAATATAAAACTCTTTGTCTTTACAAATTTCATACTGAAATGTCCAAAACTTACTGATGTAAATTACCATTATCCCTGTAGTCTGCTTGAAACTTTTGCAACCAGTATTACCATCAAATAATAATATTGTATAATAATAATAATATCTCATTTTACTACTATCAAACATATGCTGCTGTCAGAGGTAAGGCAGTATGCAAACAGAGCAGGTCAGAAATAGAAATTTAGAATACCTTATTAGAAAAAACACAGGGACAATATATAGTGATGACTGGCTGAGCCCACATGGAGAGAAGAGCAGAGAGAGTAACAGTGTCCTAAGACAAAGTGGAGTTTAGGTATTTTGAGCCCATTGAGTTTCATCCTTACATGATTTGGAACTGTGACAGAGACTGCAATGGTAGTATTTCTACAGTAGATCAAGCTGCACAGCCAAAAATGAGGGTTTGCACTTTTTCATGGGGTAGAGAAATGATTTAGCAGAATCACTAAAAATAACAGTAACTGTGATTTACTGTAGTTTACGCAAAAAAAAAGTTTCTTGATCACTCATGATGGGCTGACAAATAGAAAACATCACGCAAGCAGAGTAGATGGTAAAAATGTTTCTAGCATAGCTTCCAAGAAAAAAATAGCTATTCATTTTGCTAAGAAATGTAAAAATACAGGAAAAAAAGGTCTACTGCAAAGGAACAGAAGTGCACTGTGACATTATCTGTACTAATTTGTAAGGACCATTTGACTGTAAAAAGTTAGATAGCATTATTTATCAAGAATCATCCACAGCTAAAACTGTACAACTTGATAGAAAAAAGTACTTTTCACTTGTTTGCAGCATGTCAACTCATATTTCAACCAAAAAAATAATTAAGATCATGACTGAAGAGCTCCCTGGAGGCAGAGAATAGTCAAGGTGTTTTCGATAGCTGTTCACTGCACAAATGAGAAGCTGATACTCCATTGTCTCCATCTACATGTAGATGCATGTAGATGTTTTTGGCCTAACAAATTAAATAAAAAGCAAACTGTTGGTGATACATTCTTTTGCCCATGAATCTAACTCAAAAAAATGTGTCATGATAAAGCTCCGAAAAATGAGAAGGGCTTCATTTGGTAGCTCTTCAGTACTTGAATTAACATGTTGATTTCAGCAAACAAGTTTATCTTCATTCAGCCACTTTCTCTGAAAAAAATCAGGGTTGTTTTTTTTTCTCTTTAGGACACTGTAAGCACTATAAAGGTTGTCAGGCTCCTGGATATGATTCTTTTGAGGAGGACTGAGTACTGAGATGAATTAAGCGTGAACTTGTTTCCGGAGTCTTGTATTGCGATGATGATTTAATGTTTTCTTAGTGTTCTCTCACTTGTGAAACTTATTGTGGTGATTCCCTGCCTACATCAGAACTATACAAATAATTATTTTCCTGCTTAAGTGTACTGGAATTCACTGTAAAAACACACTAATACTGGTTAAGGCTGAACTTTCTTTTATCCATGTAAAGGGTTCAGTAAATTGATGAGCTGAAATGTCATGTCATTTGAAATAATAGCTTCAAGCCCTTCATGCTCTAGTTTAAGAAAGCTAGAAATAAAAAGTAATAAAAGAACAATACATAATGCATTAAGAAATACAGCCTTATCTTAACGTGGCCTTCTAAATAACAGGAAGTCACTTTTTGTGGTTGGTATACAGTTTCTTGTGAGTATTTCTGATCAGCACTTGAAGGGACATGTGCTCCTTGCAGGATACCTAATCAGCAAGATGTAATTCTTGCATATAGTCAGTACTAGATTCAAATTTAACATTATTTAAAGTATAAACCTCTGCAATACAAATCTGCCAGTGAAAAACATTTTTACTCTTTTTATTTGGAAGTATTTATAAAGAAAATCTGGACACTTTATGTTGTGAAACAGCTGAATTTAATACAGTTTAAAATATATATTAAAGGAAATATCAACAGATGACTCGTCTTAAGATATCACTCTCTAAAACACACATTTGTTTTATCTCATGGAAAATCAGCAACTGAAAATCACCAATATTTCTGCATAAACTGTGATAGACAATGGCAAGAGTAGTTTTCAGAGAACTTGATTGATAGCCAAGTGGTTAATGCACTAAATGGAGGTAGAGAATTCGTTCACAAAGGACCCTTTCGCCTCCAGATACTTGCAACATCTGACTTCTCAATTAGTTCTTTCCCAAGTCTTTCATTACAGAAGTAAGTTTATAGCAGCAAATACGCCATATCTTCACTACCAAAGCTTTCCAGGATTTTTTCTCTTCAGTTACATATATATAAAATACTCACACACATATAACTGAACACCTGAGATCTGCTGGTGCCTCTTCTTGTCTTCCATTTACTCCCAATGACTTTTTGGAGGCACTATTTATTCCACCATCGTAGGTTAAAACACAGGCTGGAAAACTTCTGCTTTGTATTAACCAAATTGCAGGAAGATTTCTCTTTAGTGGATCATGAGTAAATATAAATATACTTTCTATTCCCACTTCAGTTTTAAGCTTTCTATGGCCAGCAGTGCATACAGGGGAAAAGGGGGTAGACTTTTACAACATACTTTGCAGTGATGATTAGAAAACATTTTTCAAGCAGTATCACTTAAACTTCTCCAAGGATTTGTATTTGTATACAGTGCCCCCTATCAGACACAAGTAGCACATTATTGCAATCTACTAAGTGCAGATTTCTAGCCTTGAAACAAAGATGCAACTTCTGCTGACACCTTCCTCCACAGTCCTTGCAACTCAACAGAGCAGGAATCCAGCCTTAGTGTTTTCACTGTCTTTAGTCTTTCCCAACTATTTGCAAAATACACTTTCTCAAGTTTAAAACTAATGTTACTAATCAGACTATAACAAATGAAAATGTATGGATATGTCCAAAAGCGAAGAGCTGAGAAGATCAGAAGTCATTGAATGACTTTTAAGTGCTTCTACATATTGCTTCTCTTACAGTATTTTTAATCAATAAAACAGTATAAAAAATACAAAATATTGCAAAAAAGTAGCAGGAACATTGCTGTGACTTTTAAAATGTTTTAGTCGTTGCTGTTATAAATGTTGCAGAGTTGACGGCATGGGTTCTTTACACAACTTTGAAAAACTGTCCCTCTGCAACATTTTCTATAAGTAAAAAGAAACCTAGAGCAGTCATATATATAAAATACAATTTTCTCCACTACCAGGATTCATCATGTATTTCTGTTGATATCCTCAAAGAAACTCTCTAGAAGAAAAATAAAACAAGATCATATTAAGATAAATTAATTTTAGAGTTCTGTGATATAAAGTACAAGGAGATAAAACAAAAGTATGTCTAAGTTAACTACATGCTGTGAGAAATAAACAAAAAAGAAGGCTTATTTTTCTTAGAGTCTGGCAGTTGTTTTTTTCTGAATTAATAGTATGGTGTTCTGTGAGCACTGGCTAGGACAAAAGGAGGACAGAATCTAAAAAATTTTTGTCATCGTCAAACACTAATATGATTTCATACTATTTTATAGCCTGTAAATTAAAATATATGCATTTCTATTTAGCTTAATTCCATAACTTTCTCTTATTTATTAAGTTCACAATATTTATATATAGCTAAACTTTGAATGTTGAACACTTTGGGATCTGGGATCTGAAGCACACATACCAGCTCATTTAACTACTTTGAGGACTGCAGCATTGTCTGCAAATACGTTTCTCCAAGGGAAGTGTATGACTTTAAATAAAATAGATACCACCATATATGTACATATCAGAGAGTGATGGACTGGCAATAAATATCTCCTGCCAGAAAAGATAAATTTAATGATGCATGCATTTCTTAATGGTATTTTGATATTTCTGTCAGTTTTAGAAGGCAATTACATGCTTTTAAGATAATGCATTGTGTAATTTTGAACAATTACTTTTTTCTTAGAAAAAAAAAAAGCATTTTGTTCTGCAGAGCCTAGCCTCTTTTTCTGAATAAGGAAAAGCCCTACAGCCACAGTCTGTTCAGTACTATCAGTCAAAAGTAAATGGCTGTAGAAAACACAGAATCACAGAATCATTAAGGTTGGAAGGGAGCTCTAAGACCATCAAGTCCAACCATCAACCTAACACCACCATGCCCACTAAACCATGTCCTGAAGTGCCACATCCACGCTCTTCTTGAACATTTCCAAGGATGGGGACTCCACCACCTCCCTGGGCAGCCTGTTCCAGTGCTCGACTACTCTTTCAGTAAAGAGTAAATGTAAATGTAAAAGTAAATGTTTGCTATTGGTTAGCAAAATATATCTTAACTCTGAATCCTTAGTTGAAAATTTGTTTCTGTATATGCTTAAAAACCTGATTCGTATGTTTTAAAACCCAAGGGAAAAATATTCATTAGGGAGACAGAAATCAGCTCTGTGACTGATAAAATTTGTTTCTGTACAGCTTTGGTATATCTAGCTGAGATAAAGAACAGTAATTTTCTATTGCATTTGTTGTTCTACAATTCATAGCACTTCTTAGTCACTACTAAAATACACAGATACCAACCTGAAAATCTCTAATGAACGTTAAAAAGAAGAAAATAAAACCAAAGGCCACTGTCCATTCACAGATCGCACTCACAAGATGGTAAGTATAATCCTGATGGAATGAGACATAAAGTTTCAGATAAAACAGCTAAACAAAATAACTGTGGGATGCTAGAAAAATAAGACATTTCTTTCTGTAAATTCAACAAATATTCTGACTTATGACTCACCATTCCAATACCCTGTTGGATAAAAGTCAATTCAGATTTAGTTTCTACAGAATGGTAAGTATATTTATCAAGGTTGCATATGTTCCATTAAGCAGCTCGTCTTGTGCACTAACATAAAAAAATAGTACAAGAAAACTACAATTAGCACAAGGTCAAAACGTATCTTGCATCTCAAGTGAATTAAAAATCCTCAAGATGTAGATATTACTAAGAGTATCTAAGTTATGAAGACTTATCTCACAGCTGCCTTGCTACTGTTTGGTTGAAGTACATTTGCCATGTTTGCTCTTATTAAGCTCTCCAAGCAGGATGCACTCTGTGCATTATTTAACCTGCTTTTTGAATACCTCCATGTGGCAAAATTTGTCAAAAAAAACCCCTTACCTTTATAGATATCATTCTGAGAACACTGAAATCAAATCAAATACCTGATATTCACTTTAGTATGCTTCAGGTCAGACCTCCAATTTTTATCACAATAGAAAAGATTATTTAGTAAATAATGGTGAAAAAGCTGAGAAAACTAATGTAAAAAACCTCAAAAAACTTCAGAATCAAATTGTTCCACTATTTTTTTTTCATGTGTGAAGTTCATTTTCAAGAAATATGACTACATAAGGAAGTAGAACAACTTATTTTCAGATATGTTTTTTGTTACAATTTATTCTATGGGTAAATTTCAGATGCTTGGTTAAGATGATAGACTAACTCTAAAGATTTACCCATCCACGACAAGTTTTCTTACTCAAGCAACAGACAGTTTTCTAATGAAGAAATAACTGGAAACCAGCCTTGCAAAATTCGGTGAGATTTCATAAATCTATTCATGATAACATTTAAAGTCTCTGAAGCGTTTGTAATGCTATACACTTAAATGTAACAGTGTACCCCAAATAAAATTATATGGGTAAATTTGCTACGTAATGAGATTTTACCTTTTCATCTGGAGTCCAATCGATTTTTGTCATGGAAATTCGCGAAGCAAACACAATCACTGTGAAAAACACAGTGTAAAGGAAACTATAAAAGTTTAGTGAGTAATAGTGAAAATGTCTGCTTACAAGAAAAGATCCTCATTTCCCCATTCAGGAGATCCAGAACAACCAGAATATCAAATCAAAGTATTAAGACAAGTAAACGAAACATGTTATTGAAAGGTAACTGATAGCAGCAATAAAAACAAATTTCTGCACAAATAAAGGTTTCTGCTGATTCTTCCAAAACACAGAGAGTAACTTTCTCTCAGGACTGGGTCCTCTTTAAAAGCCCTTTCAAAGCTGCTGAAACCCAAAGCAGGCTGTAACTGGGTGCCTGATGTGATGATCTGCTGTGACCATTTTTCAACACTGGCAGATCACCTAAAGCCCAGCAAAATCCATGGCATGACTCTGATTTTAGCAGTCTGGGAAAAAAGCCAGTACATGTGTTGACTGTCTCCAGAGAAAGCATCTAATGAAGACAAGCACCAATCAACATGATCCAAAGCATCTGTGTAGGCCTGAAGGAAATTTTGCGTATACCAACTGTATGTTTGTGTATTAGGTTCATGTTAGAAGCAGTGCCCTGCTTTTGCAGGTCTTTCTCCATGCCCTTCTTCAAATGAAGGAGGCTGGAAAGCTGGTATAGCTAACTTACTGTGGTCCCTTCCTATCTGAATTATTGTATGACCCTCTGAAGAATTCTGGGCCACTACGTTTAAATATACCACTGAAAGAAGAGAGACAGTTATTTAGAAAGACCCTGAAACTCATCTTTATTCTATTAATGGTGTCTTGACGTGCTATATGCATTATTACAGCAGAAATATTAGAGACCCCTAAGCAAAGACTGTAACCTCATTTTCATTCTTTATCAGCAATAGTTTAACCTAAAAGGTAAATCATGAATGCATAAAAGGAAAACCATGGGATACACCATAAAGGATACTGGGAATGAAAGCAATGCATGATATTACAGATATAGCCATCCTTATGTGACACACAAAGTAAGTGTTCCATCGGGGACAGGACTTATAAGAGATTATAGACTGGAGTGTAATGTACACAACACCTGAGCCAAATGCCACCAAAGCTCCTATGTCATGGACACTGGGAACAGACAGCTCCTGGAAAGAGAATTAGCACAATGGTTAGCTGCTGCTATTTGTTCACTGGTAGGAATCAATGAGCCCTGAGGAGACAGTAGACACATTATGCTGGGCACCTACAAGCAGTGGGAAACAGTCCTTTCTCTCCTCAGTCTACACAGGGAACACAAAAGAAAAAGAAGAAAGAGTAGCTCAGAGAGGTAAACTAACCATGTTCAAATCCACTAGGTCAAAGTCCTTTCCTGTATTCACATAAAAATGTTATCGATTTAAACTGCCACAGCTTCCATAAAAAGTCCATCGCACTCAACTCCCACGGAACCTGGGAAATGTTGCTAGATGGTGCAGCGCCCCTATGCTTTCTAGTCAAAGACAGGAAGACTTCTCATTAATCATCTCTGTCTAACATCTAACAAGCAAAACCAGACCTGCTAAGACCTGGGTTTCTGCTTTGCCTTATGCATTAAGTGCTATAGGATTTTTCTTTCCATAACCAATTTTCTTCTTAAAGTCAACCCTCCACTGTCTTTCATTTCCGTATTTCAAGCATTGTGTTATTTAAAAGAGAGAACAAACACCTTATTTGTGACCATTACTTACTTTCTCAAAACGTCTTTTGCTCCTGGAAGACACATTCCTAGTGCTTGCTCCCACGCTTTTTCTCCCTTCTTTTAAGTGCTCAGAGGTCAGTATCATTAAAAACCCATGCTACCTACCATAACTTAACTTGAAGCAAAAAGGGTTAAAAAAACTTTCTTACAACTAATTATGCTACTTAAAAAGACTCACCACAAGTGGCATTAGATTTGAGTAAACAAAAGCAAACCTTAAATATTTCCTGTACAATTTCACACTGAAGCCTTTTAAACAAACTAGCTATTTTGCTTTGGGGAAAGAGAAAATGAACTGATAGTTCAATAGTGTCAATCAGCTCTACTACAGTACTCAGGTATGGTGTTAGCTCACCTGCTGGGGAAAAATAACTGTTAAGAAACAGGTAGTGCACATGAATGGTAATTTCCTGCATGACGCACTGATTATAAGGATTAGACTGAACTTTAAAGAAGTAACTTCTAACTCCAGCTTTGCTTTAGTCTCCTGATCTGAAACAATCACCTGATCTTCAGCAAATCTCACAGCCTCTTCACGTCTCAGTTATTCTATTGGTAAATGGGGGTAAGAGTGCACTGTTCAGTACCTGTACACAACACAGCTAAAAGACGGAAGACTTGCAAGCCACCATTTCCATCTTCCTGGGCAATTAAGTGTGCTCAAAACTCTGCTAGATCAGACCCTTAGCTAGATTAAATCCTTACTGTGTTCTGAACCCCTCATACAAACTGCAGCTAACATACAAAGGCGAAAGCAGAGGAAAGGGAAATTAGGCAGGGAAAGTGTTTCTGAACAGACAATGAGAGACAATAGAGATTAGATAAGCGATGTTGTAACTGCCAAGGGGCCCCTTTGAAAATTTTTGGATCAAAGTTTCTGCTTCTCTGACTCTCCCAAATTATTTTGCATTCCTGATTTGGTTTCCCATATTGAAGCTGGGTTTGTTTTCTATTTCAGTCAAGGAACACTGTTGCCCATAATCTACCTTTTTATGCCACATATTAATCTAATAAATAAGAGCACATATATTCAAAAGTAGAATAGCATGGTTAGTATAGACTATAGTGCCTGTAGTGCTTGCAGTCTACACATACTGCCTGGAGGAAAAACTAAACAGAGCAAGATATGAGCCTACGGCAGAGATTTTGTCTGAAAATATCATGACAGTTACATGCAAAACAGTATTGGCTGGTGAAGACCTGACAACCTTTATTTTCAATTTCTCTGTATGCTGTCAGGCCACTATATGAGCACAACAGTATTTACCAAAATGTTCCTCAACCATAGACAATCCTTTAAAATAAATAATTCAGCTGTTTCCACAGATTGGAAGGCAGTATTTCAAAGACTTGATTCTCAGCTGCAGTTTTCAGTGCAATTGTCCTAATACTTTCTTTTGTCAGAATGTAGCCTATTACACACTTCCTCACTAGAAAAGGTGAAAAGAATAATCTGCTTTGATATTTTTCCTCACTTTTGAATTTTCCTTCAGATGCTGAGGGCTGGACTTCTTTCATTTATAACAAGACATCTCATCCTTTCTGGCAAAGTAAGTGGTAATTCTACATGTCTCTATCAAAAGACTTAACGCATTGTTATGCCATCTCCTACAGACTCAAAACAATAGTCTAATATTGTGCTCGATGTTTTAACGTATCAGCTAAGCTGTATTGTGTATATTTCATTATTTCCCTATTCACATTATTATCCTGTAGTATTATTGTTATTTTTTATTAAATCTGTTAGTTTACTTTTCCAATCTTTAAGTCTCTCTCCCGTATTCTCTTTCTTTTCCTCTCCTGGGAAGGGGAGAAGGGTTAATAGAGAGTGTCTGTCCATCATTTAGTGGCCAGCCCAGCCCTAATCCATGACATAAGTCTGGTTTATTCTGCAGAAAATGCTGCTAGTGTTTGTGCCATCATTCAGGTAACAACACAGGTGCTTTTGCTAGTCTGACTTATTCCTCCCTACCTGACTGTAAGCAAACTAAACTGTGCAAAGCAAAGCTTTTTTACAGTAAAGTTTTCATAGTAAAAAATTTAAAGCAAAAACATCTGTATTAAGTTGATTTCTAGTCCAGACGTGTTACAGGACAAGCACACAAGAAACCTCTTACTGACATAAGTGTACAAACAAAGAAATCTAGTTAATAGGGAGAAAGCAAACCTGGCTTTTTAAAGCTACTGAAAGAAAAGGCAGGAGTAAGAAACACACTGTTACTACATTTCCCAAGTATCCACACTGAGATAATGTTAACCATTCTGATCTATTTGATTTTTTATCTGGTAAAACAACTTTAGTTTAATTTAGGATATGAAATTGATGGTCATACCTGAAAAGTTGCAACTATGCCCATTCCAATACAGCCCATCAATCCAATACATAGTGAAAGCACGTTGCACGAAGACCTAACAAAGTGCGATGACTCATTTTGCTTCTCTACTAGTAAATATCTGATGTACATTGTAATTACTCCTGTAAAACAAAAAATACATATTTTGTTCAATGATCATGTATTGCTAACATTTTAACATCTTTCCCTGTATCATATTTGCATACAGAATAAAATTATAAGCATAATACAATAAATAATACTGCCCTTAACTCTACTGTGATGAAGAAGAAAGGTAGTGAATTTCAGATGTATTACTTTCAGATAGAACTATCTTAACATTACCTTAGTCTTAACATCACACATAGTTATCTAGAAATAACTGCACATCACTTCAGGAAAGTGAAAAAAGAAAAATTAAAATTAAAAAAGAAAATTTAAATCCCATTTATGCCTCCCTACATCAAAGATACAGTTTTTTCAGAGTAATTATGCCATCTTTCTTCCACTTTTTATTTCCAGCTGCATTGACTGCTTTGCACTGATGAGGTGCTCTTAAGAGACAGAAGTGCCTCTAGGTCTGCACTTTACCGACCCTAAGGACCCAGGCCTCTAGAGATTGCTTCCATTCATCTGATTCCACCATTTGACTGCTGAATACTTTTCTATGGAATATTGTATGAACTACAATGTAAGCAGACAGCTTTTGATTGTTTATGTTTCTTTGCCGTTTTCAAACCAAGTACCTAATACATACCTAAAAGTGCTGAAATATTAATCATAAAACCAAAGACACCACTCTCTGGAGGTTTAGTTCCAGTGTCACTAAAAGCAGGAAGAAAGAGAAGAAATTAAAAGTTAATTGAGATCCGTGAAACATAAATGAGATGCACACATGAAACTCCAAGAGAAAGCTAACTGGTATGAACTGCTGCTATGTGCATAAGAGATTTAAATACATAAACTGGAATATAGTCCGCTACACACTTAAGCTCCATTTGTAGAACAGAACCTTTCATTTTAGAAAGAAATCATATTTTTAGAGCATACTAATGAATTGTATTTCTTCCTTTTCTATATACAACATGCAGAGAGGTGACGGAGTGATACTCTGCTCATGAATGACATAAACGATTATATAAATAACATTTTAGAAATTAAAATATATCTAATGTCATTCAGTATTTTATGATTTGAGAGAATTGGGCTTAATTTCCTGACTTGTTTGAAAGGACTTTACCCCAGGAAAGCAATTGCGTTCCAAAGCCTGGGAGCATTCCTAAGCACTGTTTAATTTACTAATGTAGATATAGCTTAAGAGTACTCTAGGTCCAAGGTGCTTCAAGTCTTTTCTGCCGAAGCAATTCACCCTCCTAGGGATAATCAGAAGTTCATTGGGCCAGACAGATGGAGCATGAGTGAGAGAATTTCTACAGAATTTATACATATACAAGCATGCATACATATATCTGAAAAAGTCATATATACAAAATATGTGTTATGTAGAAAACTGAATACCTTCATCATAGAATCCTTTTCCCTCTTTTCCTCCCATAGGTGCACAAACCCACACAAACACCCACACCAGAGAACAGCCTTTCTTCACAGAAGGACGTAATCCTGGCACTATGTGGCTTCAACCCCCCCCAGGCAGGACTTTTACCCAAGGTGAGTGCTCCGTTAAAAGAAGAATATTGCCATGCCATCACCTCTTTACACTATTTTTTCTTGTCTAATGTACAACTAGTTGATATCTATTTGATCAGGCTCTGCTGGTCAAGCCAATGGGAAACACGTAGCTCATAAATCTTTACATAATTGGGTGTGAGCTGAGTTTTCAGTTGCTCAGCAGTACCAAGCGGTACGGTTGCGTGTGTAAACAGAGGCACCCAAGGAGCTCTACTGTCAGAAACATAAGCACATAAGGATATTAGTTAATGTCAAAGTTCAGTGGAAACTGAGCAAAGATACCGAGAATAAAACTTTCTCTGAGGTGTATGAAGGGACAAGTAGGTACTAGCTAGAGACATCTTTTTATGTGATTCAAGAAGATGAATACTCTTCATTCCAACAGTGAAGCTGGGTTAGTCTTCAGTGCTAAACTTATGAACCTTTCACTGAGTGCAGCCAAAATGACAGGTGCTCAGCACGAATGCCTGTGCTCTTAACACCCAAAAGAGAAGGCACTCTCTACATAAGCAATCGTTCTTCAAGATTTTGACAATTTTGTAAACTTCAAGCCAGACGAGTGTGATCATATAAAAATATTTATTATTTTAAGAAGGATTTATATTCTCTCTCAGTCCCCTTCCACATTCTAGAAGTATTTGTGCAATCAGTTGCTAAGATGATTTATAAAGAATGGGAGGAAGCTTAGGGTGAAGGGAGAATACTTTTCTACGAAAAAAGATGTGAAAAATAGAGAAAAATCTTTATTTTCTTTTGACTAGATTGGTTCCAAATTCTCAGACAACAAAAGCTTGAACCAGGCTTTTAGACAAGTTTTACAACTATTAATCTGCGTTTTGTTGCTGTAATGCTTTCTGAAGACTTGTTCCAGCTTGTAGTCTGTATTAGTCTTGTTTCTCTTTGATAGTGGAATTGATGAAAATAGTACAGTAACTCTCATTCTGTTGTTTGACATTTCTGAAAAATCACCTTAAACCATGTTTTATTTAGCCCATTTTCTAATCCTGAACTTCATATCTTTCTGGAGTGTTTTCATAAATACAACAAAGGACTTTATTTAAAAAGTGGCCCACTTGTGACAATCTTGAAGGACTTTTGCAAATCAGAAACCACTCTATGCTAAGTACAGGACTGTGATCACTTCAAAGCTTTTGAAGGACTTTAGGTGAGAAGAGAATGGAATTGGCACATGCAAAGAAAGCCATCTGAAGTTCTTGGAACACTCCACATCACAAGAGCAAAGCAAATAACCTGAAATTGCACTGAACTCTGAATTTTGCTCAAGTTGATTTTTCAACTCGGTAATCTTAAATGTATGCTTTCAAGAAATTTCATACCGAGAATATTATATCCTATCTACAATGTATTTACAAAGTACTGCACTGGACTTTTAAGGGCACAATCTCCACACTTTCCAATTAAAAAATCCTTGAAGCTAAATAAAGACTTAGGTGCATTTTTTGATTACTTCTATTCTGCTGCTTTTGGAAAAAAAAGGAAAAAAAAGTATTTGTGACACTTACTTTGTTTTCATGAAAAAAAAGAAAGCAAATGGCACATATGAAACAAAAACACATGCTCACTTAATTTCAATGGCGCAGAGATGAGCACAACCACCAGGGGAAAGATGAGGAACCTGGTATGAAAATGAGAGCATGACACAGTGTCACTGTCTCAGGTAGCAGAATTCTACAAACAGACAGACAGTCTTCTGAAGAGTGGAAAGACAAGAAGGTAGAGGAGACAGGGAATAAGTATTTTAGGGCCAAAAGATTCATCATCACCAAATTTTCTTCACAGCCATCATAAACTATTTCACGCCAAACTGAAGTCCCAAATTTTTAAAGCAGGAAGATTATTTTTCTGCCTAACAGGGATTCTGACTGATCCAGAGGTACTAACTGGCAGCAAAGACCTGAAGCGAAATTCCCTTTACTCTTTCACTGAGAACTCAAACCGCCAAGCAGTGACCCCAGCACATTCAAATTAGTTTGGATTTTGAGTCCTATCAACTGAAGAACTAATTTGGGCACAACCAAATCATATTTTAGGCCTCAGCTGCTAGAAAACACAGTATCTTGTTCATTTTTATCTACTTAGAAATATATTTCTATAGTTTACTTTATGAGACATTAGCACAGTTTCAATTACAAATTTAGATGTGGTCTTTGCCTGCCTGCAACAGCTGTTACATGATAAACAAATAAAACTAACAAGTTACCTCAAGGCATACACAGTGTACTTGAGGAATGTAAATAAGAATTACAGAAATATTGAACTAAAAATGTCAGTATTTTTCTCTGTCATGTAACTGGAATTTCCCCATACAAACTCTATTTAAATTTTATAGTTAATTTCAAGATATTGCACAACTGAAATGTTGCAACACTCTTCCTCTTTCTTTTTTATCACTCTAAGTTTCACTAAATCATGTTCTTAATCCCATGATTCAGCTTAGGCTAAAGCAATGAACTGCAAAATAAGAACAGGAACTATGATTATTGGCCTTAGTACTTAAAAGAAATCATCATATTATTCCCAAGGGCACTTTCCACGATGGTTATATGCTCAGAACATGCACCTTTAGAATTGTTACAGATTGCTCACCAACAGTTCATGGATATCCTTAGTCCAAATGTTGTGTTAAATGGATGTAAAATAAACAAGAGGTCTGTCTTTTTAAAAACTTTACTAGCAAATGCAGAGGGCCTGAAATGTAAGTGGGTTTATTTATTTTCTTTTAATTGTTAGCACAGCCTCATCTGTCTTGTTTTGGGGTTTTTTTTAGGGTATGTTGGCATTTATTGTGATTCCTTAGTTAAAGAATAAGGATTATTTTTTCAGTGAGATGTTCAGTTAGACTGATATGGCAGCTATGCTACATAGATGTACATGGCTATATGGCAGGTGTGCTACACGCAACAGTTATACAGCTATGACTTGCAGGTTTGGTATACCTCTTTAGAAAAAATGACACAACTGAGATACCTGGGCTGTTAAAAACTTGACTGCAAACACAATTATGCAGAAAAAAACCCCTGTCCTGTCCTCTCATATTTTT